CGCCCTTCTCAGGTGCACAGCGAGTCCCGCCGTGCCAAGGGCAATCCCTCCACAGACGTGGCCCCTCTCCCCCCCACACCCTACACCCCGCCCCCCTCGCCCTCGCTGCGTCTGCTGCTGGGGTCAGTGCGCCTGCTGCACCTGCCCCACCCCGGGGCGTCCGGACTCGCCCTGGACCGCGGGTACGAGAGTGAGGAGGAGCTGCGCCTTGTGGAGTCGCCCTCCGACCTCCTCGCCCACATGATCGCCCAGCTAGGGGGCAGGGGACTGCAGGAGCCGGCGGTGCTGCTGGTAACGGTGCTGGTAATGGTGGGGGAATTGGGAAGGGTGCGGCGGGGAGTGGTGGGCGAGTGGCAAGGGGCGGGTGTTTGGGCACCGGGACACGTACAAGAGCTCGGGGTACCAGCTGCTGGCTGACGTGTGGAGCAGGCAGGCCGCCAGCAATGCTCACTCGCAGTCTGGCCACACATAGCCGCCGCAATGTGCATGTGATGTGAGAGACAGCTCAAGCCCTGGCCTCCAGTCAGATGGCAAACTCATGCGTAGCTAGGTGCCGTGCAGGAGAGAGTGAGTGAGAAGAGGCGGGGAGAGTGTGACGAGCTGTAGTGATCTAGTGAGTAGTCTCATGCCAGATGGCATGCTGCATCAGCAATCTCTAGGTGGTTGTGCTGCACAGTATGGCACGATAGGTGCTGGTTAAGTGCTGTTGTAGTACCAGGTGTCTAGTTTTGTCTGGTTTTGTGTGCATACCAAACAAATTACTTATAAACATACATCTTTGCTTCTGGTCTACACTTGCCCACACATCTTGTACAATACTACAGCTGAAATGTACACATTTTGCAGGGTAGCTCCTGCTGTTAGCACTGGTTCCTGCTGTAACTCCATCACCCCTGTTCCTTCTATGGCATGGCACCCCACTGCGCCACTAGCTGCTAGCACTGCTTGCAGGACTTTCTGCAGGACTCGTGCATGTAGGCAGGGTTCCTCTCACACTCCCCACTGGCAGCCCAGCTGGGGCAGCTGCAGCGAGGGACAGACAGAGTGACGTGCGAGAAGGGCAAAGACTGGTGGTTAGGCAGACGGCAGCACAGCGCAGCACAAGGGCAGTGCAGCACAAGGACAGCACAGCACAAGGACAGCACAAGTACAAGTACGAACACACACAAGGCAGAAGCTGGACATGCATGCATGGACGTGACACCTTGGTGATCAAGAGAGCATGCATGGAAGCTCATGATGTGGCATGACTCTGCCATAGAGTGCAGCATCAGATTAGCAGTGACCACCTCCTCCTCCCCCTGCCCAGCCACCTGGACCCCTCCCTACTTGCCCACCCCATGCACACACTGCCTCCATACGCCAAATCGCCATTTAACTCTCTACAAACCAGCCACGTGTGCATGCTCCCCAGGTCCCTTACAAGGCATTGGCGTCGATGCACCCTGTCAGCACGCCCTGCCCGCCGCCCGCCATGTCAGCCATGCCCACGCCGCCCGAGGGCCCGGTGTAGAGCTTGGAGAAGTCTGCCACGTGGATCCACTTGGGTGCGGACCACTTGACGCCCTCCACCACAGGGCATGCGTAGTGCAGCGAGGACGCGTCAGGGGAGCCGTCCGGATGCATGCTATAGAAAAGAAGGGCGTCACCCTTTGAGGGTTTCACTGGCGGGGGAGGGGGAGGACAGGTGAAGAGGGGTTGGATGGAAGTGTGCAGCACGCACCCGTAGTGCAGTGAGGACGGGTTGGAAGAACCGTCTGGGTGCATGCTGTAGAGAGGAGGGCGTCGCCCTTGGAGGGCTTCCCTGGCGGAAGAGGCCAGGGGAGGCAACAGGACGTGTCAGGCCCGAGGGGGCACACCCTTGAGCTGAAACCTATCCTTTCACCTCAGTGTTTCTCTGCATTCCTCCATCCCAGCCCGCAGCCCCGGCTTACCTAGATTCTCCCCTGCCCGCCCCCCCCCCCCTTGCTAGCCTCCCTTCTACTTTTAGTCTTCTCCCCTTCGTCCCGCTTCCTGTCAGGTGCTCTCCTACTTCCACCCCCTCTCCCTGCTCCCAGCCTTCACAACTGCTTCCCCCCTGTGCCTCTCACCAGCGAGCTTGCCCTTGGCGCAGTCGGACCACAGTCATCCCTGGGCGAGTGGTCGTCGGCGGTGGGGAAGACAGTCTCGCCGCCCTTGGTGACGTTGTTGAGGTACATGAGCACCGTGGCGTACCGGTGCCCGCCGCGCTTGCGGTTGTTGGGGTCGTGGAAATAGTCCACGTGCGGCTCGTACTTCTGCCCCTTCTCGTATTTCAGCACCTGGTAGGAGGGAGAGGGGGGGGGAGGGGGGGAGAGACGTGGAAAGGCAGGGATGGATGGAAGGGTAAGGATTGCGTGTGCGTGTGCAGTCGACGTGCTGCTCGTACCTCTGCCCCTTGGCGCGCTGCAGTGCCTGGAGGCAGGGGAAAAGGGGCATGGGCGGAGGGAGTGGTGGAAGAGGAAGCGAGTGGTGGATGGCGGGACGGGATCATGGGGATGGTGGATGGTGGGTCAATAGAGTGTGCGTCCAACTTATACGGGCCTCGGGCTTCCACCCTCTCCTACGGGGCCAGCTTGAGCATTCCTCACACAAGCCATACCACATGGCTCGCATTTTCCGGCATCCCCCCACCCCGCGTGGCACCTGCATGGCCTCCTGTTTGGGCAGCGGCAGGAACGTCCACTCGGCTCAACGCCACTCGCGCTTCAACCTCCCCTACATCCACCCCCTCCCGCCCCCCAACCCCCTGCCACCCGCGCGGCACCTGCATGGCTTCCTGGTTGGGCAGCGGCAGGAAGGTCCATTCGGGCGATGCGGTGCTCGATGCGCGCGATGGACGGCGTCCTCGGCGACGGCAATGAACATGCCGCTGCTCGTGCGGATCTCGCTCAGCTCGCTGTGCCCGTCCGTGTTGTCCGCCACGGATGACCTGCGGGAGAGACGGGAGGCGGACGGCAGGGGGTGAGTGAGGATGAGGGAGGCAGAGGTGAGCCTTAGCCCGCCCCTCGCTCAGCTCGCTGTGCCCGTCCGTGTTGTCCGCCACTGACGACCTGCGCGATGGACGAGAGAGAGGGGAATGGGGAGGGGACGCAGGGAGTGAGGATGCGAGCCTTAGCCCGCAGCGCTCAGCTCGCTGTGTCCGTCCGCGTTGTCCGCTACGGACGACCTGCGGAGAAAGCGGACAGAGTGTGGAAGGGGCGGAAACGGCGGGGGCCCGTCGCCCGTCGCCTCAACGTGAACTACCCTGCCAATAGGCCGCGCTATTCCTGGAGACGCGCAGCGACTCATGCAGCGAAGAACGCTTAAGTTTAAAATTGCTTCTGGAGATGAATTCCAACCTACCTCTGTCACTGTGATGCGCGGCGCGGCGGACAAGTCAAGTGTACCTCTGGAGGCGCGGCGTGGCGATTTTGATAATGTGGTCGCACTCGTCGTCCGTGAGGAAGTTGCGGTAGAGGTACGCGCGCGGCTTCCACGCCGACAGCTGCACGATCCGGCTGAAGTCGATTCCCCCCGAGCGAGAGCCGTCGCCCTGCGCAGAGGCAGAAGCATGGGAGCACGTGAAATGCACGTGACTACTGATCAGCAGGAGCGTGAGAGGTAAGTATGCAGCTAATGCTGCGCCGTGAACCTCACACATGGTTATTCGTGAGCGCATATGCGTCGGCGCGACACGAATGCGTCGTACGGCGCATCTGGATGCGTGGAGCGGCGGCGAAATCTGGATGCCGTTTGAGTCGACTTCAAGCACGCATGCACGATGCGTCAACGATGCTTCAGATGCACGTGCGTGATGCTTCTGCGAATTCCAGAATGCGCACGCGTGCATTGAGAGAAGGAGACATCTGCTCACCGTGGCTCGACGAATGCTGCGCTTTGGGGTGAAGGAGGAACCGATGAGGTTTTTTATCTGGGGGAGCGCATCGACCATCACTGAGAAGGCTAAGAGGCAGAGCACCGCTACATGCGGAAGATGTACGCTTGTTCTCCGCGCCATTCCGACTGCTCCGACGTGACCCACGCGGCACTGGTATGCAAGAGATTTCTCGTCGCTTACGTGCCTCGACTACTTGTACTCAAAATCTGACTATTCGAAACGTCACAGCGCACTGTAACAATCGCGTACACAGTGAAACTAAAAGCGTCGTCTGACACTGGCCTGTGTGGAAGGGTAGAGGAAACTAAACCGGTTATGCTAAGTTGTCCTAGCTATGATGGAGCCGAGAGAGGTAGCGCTAGGAAACTGGGGTACGAGGGCCGAGTTCTAATGCCACCGACATCAGTCAGAGCGGCTCACAGCTCTGCCTCTCTGCAGCACATCAGTCAGGTGAACCCAAACCAAGGCCTTTCTGGCTGCGCTAGCAGGTTTGGGGAGCATGCTGGTCAAGCGATGTGGTCGGGGCAAACTGTGATGTCAGGTGCCTCGATGGCAGGTCTGGAGCGGGAGACGGCCCCGAGGCTTCAGAAAAGGTACCTGTATGGAGTTCTGGTATGGCAGAGTATGTGGTCCGCTGAGGCCTGTGAAGTGAGAAAAGAACCGCTGAGACAGCGCATGGATTTGTGACTAGATTGACGGCTTCGATCGACTCATCTTCGCAAATCCAGCCTCGGCAAAGTAGCGTAGGTGGCGGTGACGTGTCCGAGGGCCAAGAGTCCCAAGTTGGAGTCCAGCGCATTCAACGCGACAGCGAATCAACGAGTTCGCGCATCGACGATCAGCTCGAGGGCTCGGTTTGCCACGAGGTTGTGATGTCTTTCTCCCCTGTCGCGTCGCACAAATTCATCGCTGGCGACTTTTTCTCCAGCGCAGCAGAAAAATATCCCTAGGGATTGGCTTGCCTCGGGATAACCTTTTCCGAACCAGGCCTTGAGTTCTCCGAACAACCAGGCGCCAAGCCCTGGAGTTACAGCCCTGTACAATTCCCACCCAGCATTCCTCGCACCCGCCCTCAGGCTTCTCTCAGGCCAGCTCTGCCTTCACACAAAGCAGCAACACAACAGAGCCAGCTTGTTGATCCGAGCTTGTAGTTTCCCCATCATTCGAACGTTTTGTGAAGCTCACTCTCCGCCCTAGAATAGGTGGCTCGTTCGAAATCGTGGCCTTCTTAGATCCTTAACTCACGCACCTGAGGAGAGCACCTTTCGTGGTAACCATATCAATTAAAATTTCAGGTGACATGCGGCATTCAGACAGGAATATGCAGCAATCGCGCATGGCCTTCCTGGCCCTGCATTTCATCCTCTTATCCCTCCTACCCACTCTCCTCGTGCGTGCGGGGGACGTCCCCGGCGAGGCGGAGTCGTTGCCGGGATGGAAGGGCGCCACCTACGTCCTGCCGCCGGGACTAAGGGTAATCAGTCACGCCATGGCCAACACCCAGTTTAACTGATGTTCCATACTCACTTTCGCAGTTTCACTGAAAGCGTATCCGTCGTGGTGGTTGCGTCTGCAGGGACGGGAGAGGGACACGGCCAATGAGAGCCCCGGTCTGCCAGAGGACGATCTAGTGCAGGTGGAGCAGCAGAAGAGGCATGAGTCCGAGGCGCTACCTGAGCCGGCTGAGCAGCCCGCGCAGGGTGACTCTAGCGGGGGAAGTGACCCTAGCGGGCGCGCGATCATTCAGCTGTCGGCGGACGAGCCCCGCGCGTATCTGTTCAAGCGGTTCCTCACGGACGAAGAATGCGACCATATCATCGCCCTCGCCGAGCCCAGCCTCGAAAGGTGCCGCCATGATCATTAAGCCTTTAGCCTAGTCAATGACGGTACCGCGATAGCCGCTGTACTGTGCACGCTGGGAGGCTCAGCACCTCCCCCGTCCCTCCTCCACGCGTTCTCCTTCCCTCCCCAACCCCCCCTCAGGTCGACGGTGATCACGGAGGCGAGCTGAGGCAGCGAGGTGAGCGACATCCGCACGAGGCTCTCTAATCGACACGAGAAACACTGTTGCATACCCCCTGTGCCCCCCCCTACCCTCCCCCCCCCTCTCCCGGGCCCGACCCTGTTCAGATCGACGGTGATCGCAGATTCGAGCAGCGGCAGCGAGGTGAGCGAAATCCGCACGAGCTTCGGCACGTTCATCGACAAGAAGGCGGACGCCGTCATCGAGCGCGTCGAACGGCGCATCGAGGCGTGGACGCACCTGCCCGTGTCGCACCAGGAGGCCCTGCAGGTGAGCGGGGGAGGAGAGGGGGGAGACGAGGGACTGGGACCAAGGGATTGTGACAGGCGGGAGAGAGACGAGAAGGGGGCAGGACAAGGACGCATGAGCAACGGCCGCGAGGACCTAGGTAGCCTGGGAGAAATGGGGGAATGCGCATTGAGAGCAAGGAATTGAAGTAGTCGAAGCTGAGCAGACACGAGGAGCACTAAACGTTCCATCCATTTGTCCCTCTACTCCCGTTGTCCTTCCCTGACCTCGCTTCCTTTCCCCACAGTTCAATACCATCGGGACCTTTGTTATCTGCTCCCCCTACCTTCATCCCCTTCCTCCCCTTCCTCCCCCGCCCTCAACGCCCCTTCAAACAGGTGCTGAGGTACAATGTCGGCCAGAAGTACGTGCCACACCACGACTATTTCTCCGACCCGCCAGAGACGCTGCAGGGCGGCCACAGGCTGGCCACCGTGCTCATGTACCTCAGCAACGTCACCAAGGGCGGCGAGACTGTGTTCTCCAATGTGCCTGACCCCACGCCCAAGGACCACTCCTGGTCCGACTGCGCCAAGGGGTATTTAGCAGTCAAGCCCGTAAAAGGCGACGCGCTGCTGTTCTTTAGCATGCACCCGGATGGCACGCCGGACGAGGCGAGCATGCACTACGCGTGCCCTGTGGTGGAAGGGGTGAAGTGGTCGGCGCCCAAGTGGATCCATGTGAGGGAGTTTGACGTGGCGGGGGAGGAGGGCGATCCCAGTGTGTGCGCGGATACAAATGGCATGTGCGATGCGTGGGCAGCGGCGGGGGAGTGTGAGACGAACAAAAATTACATGGAGGGAGGGAAGACGTTCGTGGGGGCGTGCCGGAAGGCATGTGGAGTGTGTAAACCAGACAGCAGCAATGGGACTGCTGTTTCATAAGACAAGGCACACTGCTCTTGGCTTGGCGTATCAAGGCATGGAGTTGGTAGGTAGGTTGTCAGCTCAGCTGTGGGCCCCCCTCAATCAACCTTCCTAATGAAGGTGTTGTAAGGAATCGTTGTACAGTATTTATTTGCACAAATCAAGTACACATTGGTTGTGTTAGAGCAACTAGATGTGATCATGTGAGCTCGATAACTTGCCACCAACCACCGTACCTGGCACAGGTATCACCAGGAGGGCATTTCAGTAGAAAGCTGAAATCTGCTGCATACGCAGTGCCTTGTTTGGCAAGGCTAGTAGACGAGCACGGACTTGCGTGCAGCAAGGAACTTGTCGAGCCTGTCCCAGAAGGACAGCGCTGCTGTGCGATCCTGATGCCGCTTGTACTTGCTTATCTGAGGGGGGGGGGGGAGGGGAGGGGAGGAAGGGGATGAAGCAGGAGAGAAGAGAATGGAGGAAAGGGGCAGAGTATGTGTGAAGGCACAGAAGTGCGCCATGGCCTTTCAAGTCATGAGAGTGCCGAGCCGAGTGTGGAACAGAGGGGGAGAAGAAGGGAGCGGTGTTTCAGAATACGTACAGCGAGGATGTTGCAATTCCACTGCTTGACTGTCGCCGCTGACTCCACACTGTCATCCTCAAAGCGCATGAACACACCCATCACTGCATGCACCACGCACACATGCACCATGCACACATGCATGCATGGGCAAAGGCATGGACCCACGCATGCAAACATGCACAGCAAGCGCAAAGTCAGTGAGCACGACACAAGAACGAGACACCGAACAGTAAAAGCTTCAACGGACAAAGCCAACCCAGCAGCTGTGCAGGTCGGCACTCTATAGCGAGTACGGCAGGTGAGCCAACCTTTGGAGAGGATCTCGACGTGGTCCTTGAAGGGCCACCCCTTGAACTGCCACTCCTTGCCCAGCACAAACACCGCCGCCACACGGTCCCAGTCCTGCGCACACCGCCAATGGATGGACAGAGCTGGCTCAACAAAACAACCGAGCACTAGCAAACACCAGACACTCACAACTATGCCACAGTCTAGTGTCATACGAAAGCAGATCACACCCCGCACCACAGCTGGCCACTCACTCTCTTGGACAGCCCTTCCGGTCGGTCCCTCACATGGTACGCCACCGCCTTCTCGCGCCCCATCTTGCGCTGCACCACCACCATCTCCGGCCGCTTCCCCCCTGCCGCCCGCGCCTTCTCCTCGGCCGGCACGTAATTGCCGTCCTCCAGAAACTCCTTCACGTTGAAGATGTTGATTAGGGTTTGGGCAGCGCTGGGTACGAGAATAATCGGCACCAGGCTTGCTCCTGCTCCCCCTCCTGATGATGCAGCTGCGCTGCCGCCACCGCTGCTGTGCTGTCTGTGCTGCGACTGGTGCGCTGGGCGGGCATGGCGGGAGGATGGCACCAGAGCGTGTGGCTGGGGCGGGTTGGACGGTTGCGATCGGCCATGCTGCCCTTCTGCTTTCCCCTGAGAGGCTCCAGCAGGAGCGCCGGAGCCGCCAGCAGCAGCAGCAGCGCCACTACCCCCCGTCCTGCCGTGCTGCACGAAGGACGACTGGGTGGGGTTGATTCCCAGCTCCTCCAGCGCGTCAGTCCCCATGTAGTCCCGCCACACCTGCCGCTCGTCCTGCCGCCCCCCTCCCCCTCCCCCGCCAGCGCCAGCATTGGAGCCCCCCGCTGCCCCTCGGGCGTCCCTAGACGGCCGGGAGGAGGCCGGGGCGGAGGGGTGGCCGCGCTTGGAGGCGTCTCTGTGCGCCATGTCGAGCTTCTTGCGCTCGTGCTCGCGGCGGTTGAGCATGGCGAGCACGGCGGCGAAGGCGTCCTTGCGCCTGGGGCACAGCAGCACCGTCTCCCGGTCCCGCACCGGCCGCTCCCTCTTGATCAGCTCCCGTATGGCCTCCCTCTCCTCCTGCTCACTCATCCCCCCCCTCCTAGCCCCACTCCCCCTACCGTTGCTCCTGCTGCGGCCGACCCTGCGCCAACGTCCGCGTGATAGGCCATGCCGCGTCCGGTTCCCAGCCCTGCCTGGTTCCCCTCTCCTCTCTGCCTCTTGCCGTACACGTCGTATCCTCCCCCTCCCCCTCCGTCTGCTCCTGCTGCTCCCACCTCCCCACCAACCCCACTCGCCCTTTTGTCCGTATCCCATCTGCTCCTTTTCCGACCCTGATCCCCAGCTTCGGCTGCTCCCAAACCGCCTGGCCCGGTGGCACCCTCTACCGCTGCTGACGCTCCTTGGCCTAAAGCGCCAGGAGCTGCTGACGTGGCGGCTCCGGAAGGGGGGAGGGGCGCGGAGGGGGCGGCGGAAGCGGGGGCGGGGGGGGAAGGCCGATGGGCGCGATGAGATCGATGGCGTCCGTCGTCTGCAGATGGCCCTCGAGATATTCCTGGTCGCGGGAAGCAAGGTGGGGGCGGGGGGGGGAGGGGGGGGACGGAGTTAAGAACGAACAGGGTCCTGTGGAAGTTGGAGCAGCGTGAGAGAGAGCAGTGGAGCGAGGACGTAAGAAGGGTAAGTCGCGAGCAAGGGGAAGAGAGGTAAGGAACGGCTCGGGTCGCACCAGCAGCAGCTTGCGGTCCGTGAAGGTGACGATCTGCATGTTCTGCGCGCGAGCGCGCTGCATGTACTCCGTGTGTTTGAGCGCCTTGCACTGCACGAACAGCAGCAGCGACTCCAGGTTGTACCGGTCGCCGCCGCGACGCCGGTAAGCGGTTTCGACGGCTCGGGGGAAGCGGTACTCATTGCCGAAACAGCAATCGTCGCCGACGATGGTTACCCGGTCCAGCTCATTTCGCATGGTGTATTCGCGCAGGACGGATAAGGGATCCATTTTGGCTTTTAGGTCAAATCAACGAAGCAATAAGGGAGAAGCCGTAAAGGAAACCGGCTGGCGAGAAACTACTTGCTTTAAAACAAAGACGATAAGGAAACTAACGTCCTCGAGGCATTGAAGATCAGAATCACCAGTCAGTGATCGATCCTTCCGCATAATCTGCTGCTCGTGCGGGGATAACTATGGGGGGAGGCTAAGTGGAGGAGGAGGATGCTATGTGACCTAGTAATGCATTTCAGAGTGGAGGGGGAAGGCAACCTTGGGATTTGAGTGGACGTTGGCGGAATGTTTTGAGGCATTTCGCGAAGGGATTGAGGGGTGTTCGAACGAGCCTCGCGCATTCGAACGAACCTCGCGCGTTTTCGCACATGTCGCGAACCCGGACTCCCCTCCCTCCCATTCTTTTCCACCATGACTCGAGCCTATTTGAAACTATGTCTGGCTAGTCAACCCAGACTTGTGCTTGACGCTTAGCTTTCGCCACATCCCCGGAGCACTTGACCGGACAGGTGTGTCCCTTGCACGTCATCAAACAGGTCATTCGTGTCGCCGCAGCATTCAAGTATAGGACAGCTCGATCGCGCAGAACGAGACTGATTGCTTGCTTGTGCGCTCGAAGCATCTGTTCCCCAACAGAGATTCGCAAGAGATCCCTTGCTTAGCCGCTATGGCTACCGAGGCTACTCGCGAGGTGAGTGCTAGGAAATCGGTTTGGATCTGTATAATCCCCATCGACCAGCTTTCAAATGGCGATCACTGGTAGGCACGTCAGGCGTCTAGCGCGTACTCGAGCACCGTTGACCTGCTCGGCGTTATTTCGATGTCCGTTCCGTACGTCGTCTCATTTCAGCTGCCTTTCGCTCTCCCACTTGCTTCTCACAACCGCTCTTCTCCCCGCCAAGATTCCCGTCTCTTCCTCACCCACCCTTGTTTCCTCTCACACTTCTGCTCCCCATGCACCATCACTCAACCCCTTCGCATCGCCGTTCCTCACACGTCGCCACGTCTCTTCGTCAACCCTGCTGGTTACCATCGCTTGGCTTCAGGCCTTCGTGGAGCTCCAAGGGCGACTGCTGGAGACAGACGGCAAGCTGAAGCAGGTGGGTCGGGGTTGAGCAGAGTATGCATTTTCCGACCTAGGATCGAGTGGCGGAGGCGGTAAGAGAGGGGGGAGTATTGCTGATGCACGCTGGGAACGTGGGTGGGCCGATTGATTAATGGTTAAGAGAGTAGATGGCGCACGCTGGGCATCGCTTTAATTTAAGGTGCTCTGTTCCTGTTTCGTCCCACTCAGGTGGTGGGGCAAGAGCAGGCATGCCAGGTGGACATCTTCACGGCCAAGACGACGCTGGACGAGCTTCAAGAGCTGCCCGCAGAAACGAACGTTTATCAAAGTATCGGTGAGTGCACGCAGAGGAAGTATCAGCAGTGTGGAAAGGAGGCGGGTTATTAGGCATGAAAGAGTAAAAGCTTCTGAGTGCTGCAGAATTTCGGCATTCTTTTCAATCTTGCCCAAATTCTCTTTCCCCTGCCACCTCTGGTTGCTCCGCTCCGCGTGCGTGCCCCTCTGCTCTCGTGTGGACGCTTACTCGCTACTGGTGGCACATTGACCGGGGACACGTCTCCCTTCTACCACACCAATGCTCCCAGGAAGAGCGTAAGAAACATAGCTCGTGCTCTTCTATGGGACCCATGCTCTTTTTCTCCACCCCCTCCGTGACACCCTTCTCACTCCCTGCTCCTCTCAGTGTGTGCTCAATCCCATGCCTCTACCCTATCCTCGATGTGAGCGTTGATTGTGCGCACTGCATTAGGTCGTTGCACTTGCAGCTATTTTTAGCATGCCGTTTATTCAGGCACTCAGAAGTTGCTTCTCTTCACTCCATCCATCCAACACGAGCCCATGGTCCCAACCTCGCACCCCATGGCCAGGTTTGTTCTGCAGCCACTAGGCGATGCCAAGGCATGGGAAGAAGGGAAGATCAAAGAAGCAGAAGCCACCATCGCGTCGCTGCAGGTGAGTGGCCTTTCCCAGAGTACTTGCACTCTGGCAGCCTTCGCTCTAATCGGCATGTGTCGAGCATGCCTGTCCTCTCGCATGGCCTCATGTGCCACTGTTCATGCGTGCTTCTCGGGTGTGCAGGGCTCGAAGAAGTATCTGGAGAAGCAGATGAGGGAGGTGCAGAGCAACTTCAAGGAGCTCATGGAGCAGCTCCCGGCGTCCATTCCTGGTATCACACAAGCCATCAATGGTTCAGCCAGTAGTACCTAGTAAGGTACCGGTACATAATTCTTTCAGTCTGGATAAACGATATATTTTGTTCCTTGCCATGTTCTGTAGTAGCTTGTTCAGCCGAAAAAGGCTATATACCGTCACAAGCAACCCTGTCAGTCATTCCGGGACTTTCAGAGCATGCTCCTACAACCTCTTCCCAGGCTTGCCTCTTCCCAGACTCGCCCCTCTCGCCTGAATATTGGCGATGCCGAGCCTCGTGAGTGTCACACCTCACAGAACTGCCATGGTCCAACTTGAGTCAAAATTACACTGCACTGCGCTGTAGCGGGCCCGTCTGGAAAGAGGCTACCCTGGGAAGAGGTTGTAGGAGCACGCCCCTATAATGAACCCTTGCTGCGAGCCTGTGCCTGAGCGTGGTAGGAAGAACAATCAGATCAGAAGCAGTCACTCAAGTCCTTCCATGGCAAAACACCTATTCCTCACATGTGGCTGTGAGGCGGCCAACCACGTGCGACAGCACCTCTTTCTTTGACAGCCTATAAGCCAGAGCCACCTCCCACTCCGGAAGGTCGCGCACAAACTCCGGCGGGCACATGAGAGGCTTGTCCCCTGGGTACTTCCCGTACAGCACCTGCACCTTGCACGACTGCACCACCTGCATGCGCTGCACGTCGCCCTCCTGCGATGTGCCCATGGCCTTGAGCATCTGCTTGGCGCGCTCCAGAATGCCTGCGCCCGCCGCGGGGATGGCGTCGCCCAGGTCCTCGTCTAGTGAGGCGGCGAAGTCGTCGCACGTGGTCTTGGGATCCTTGAGCCACGCGTACTCCACTGCTGGCCGGGCGAGCTGCGCGTAGTCAGGGGCTACATGGAGAAGAGGGGGGGCAGAGGGGGAGAGACCAGCGGGGGTGAGACCAGCGGGGGAGAGACCAACGGGGGTGAGAGCAGAGGGGGAGAGACCTGAGGGGGTGAGAGCAGAGGGGGTGCATAGATAATCTCACCTTGCTTGTTGATCACGTGGGCATGCAGGGCTGCCAGGCCTCCCAGCATTCTCGGGTCGAGCCTCCCGCCGTACCAAGCTCGCAGGCTCGCCTGCGGCTCAATTCTGAACTCTGGCTCGTCCGGAATGCCCTTGTACTTGTCCTTGGCCACCTCTGCCTTGAGCGCCCTCTCCATGTCAGCAAACACCTTCTCCACGTCAGTCTGCACGCATGGTTTATGGGGGGGAAGGAGGGAGGAGAGGGGGGGGAAATAGTTTCTCATGAGCATCCAGCCAGAAACATCACAGCTTACAGCAAAATGGGGGTTAAAAAGCCAGGGCATACATGGAAGTACGAGGAGGCACAGGGGCCTTCGGATGAGAGAGAGAAACAAGCACGGGTGGAAACAGGGCACTGTGCCGACTATCTGAACTCCGAACTCCGCAACACCTAATCTTCAAGAATGACCCCCAGTACTGCACCTCCATGAAGGACTCCCCTTAAAGCCCACGCACATTCATGAACGACTCCCCTTAAAGCCCACGCACCTCCATGAAGGACTCCCAGTGGCTCTTGAAGAAGTGGCGGCCGTAGAAGTCGATGGCGACCTCGGGGTACTCGAACATGTCCACGCGGTCGCGGTAGTTGGTCACCAGCGCCATGGCCCGGAACACCACCGCCTCGTCGTTGGCCAGCAACCCGTACTCCACGCTCACGTGCTGCCCCGCCGTGATGTTGGCGGTGGCCTTGAAGGTGATGTGCGTGCTGTTGTCCTGATGGGGGGCGGGAAGGGAGAGCAGGGGGGGTGGGGATTGGCAATGGAAAGGGTGGGGGAGTTACAAGTTCAGAGTTTGGGGAGAGTCATGTCGGTTGCAACAAGTTTCTATTTTGTTGGGAATCGCGACGCAACGAATGCGACACACATGCTCGGTTCGAGCCAACTCAGAGCGCATTGTGCGAGGCGCTCACCTCCCATACGGCTACAGGTGCTTTGTCGGTGTCAAACAGGTCAGCGTATGGGAGGAGCACTGTCTCTGTGGCGTTATTGCCGCTGCTGCTGCCGGTGCCGTCAGAACTGGCGGTGCCGTTGTTTGCACGCAGTGAGAACATGCGGGAGGTCACCATGCCCACCGCCCACAGGAACTCCTGCTCCGTTGCATTCGCTATGGCCTCTGGGCGGCACTTCTTGTACTCTTCTGACAGAGTCCGCTTGTGCTCTGCTGTCTGCGGCACCCAATGGGTAGAAGGGGATCGGAGACATGTGATTGGTTGAGACGGGAGTTGGCAAAAGGCAGATACGGCATTATTGACGTGACTTGGACTGATCACACTAGAAGCAGGAGCAGGGAGGGGAGTGAAGGGCGGGGAGTGGGAGTGGAGGGCGGGGAGTGGGAGTGGAGGGCGGGGAGTGGGAGTGGAGGGCTTACAGCCAGGATGAGCGACTGGGATTGGAACTCCGAGCGGAGTTGGTCGGAGAAGAGGTAGGGGAAGGGCAGGTGCGCGGGCAGCAGGCGCACGAACGGCGCCCACAGGGACGCACGGCCCTTGGCGCGCTCCCTCAACACCCACGCTGCCAGGGCCGTGAACGGATGCACCTGGGGGGAGGAGAGAGGGGGGAAGGGGGAAGGGTAGATGCGTGTATAGGGATAAAGAGAGCTGGCGGATGCACTTGGGGGTGTGGCGGGGAGGAGAGAGGGGGGAAGGGCAGATGCGCATGTAGGGGACAACGAGAGGGGCGGATGCACCTGGATGGTGGGGAGGAAGGGGGTGATGCGTATGTGGAGTTAAGGAGAGGTAGTGGAGATGGGCGGGAATGGTGGTGAAGGGGTGGAAGGTTTACTTCGAAGTCTTCTGCGCTGGAGCTACTCTGATTGGCAGAACAGGTCTCTTACCTCTCCCTCGTGCGCCCTTGCCTCCCACTCACCCCTCCCTCGTGCGCCCTTGCCTCCCACTCACCCCTCCTCGTGCGCCCTTGCCTCCCACTCACCTCTCCCTCGTGCGCCGTTGCCTCCTCCTGCGCGTGAGCAGCGGAGAGAGCGAGCGACCGAGGCAGCGACAGAAACACTTCGCCCTCGCCGATGGGGCGAGTTGCTACCATGCGCAGGTTGGCCCTGCGGGTGGGGGAAGGAGGGGGAGAAGGGGGAGAGGACGAGTGGGAGGAATTCGGAAGTGGTTGGAAGTTCTACTGGAGGAGGGAGCTGTTTTGCTGGAAAACAAACTGCCGGACTGAGAGGTGATGGGAGGCAAAGCAAGGTGCTGGAGGGGGAGAGAGAGGTAATTGTTCATTACTGACGCAAGACAGCAATGAGTCCATTTGCTGCCTTTGGCTTGTCGTTCCTTGGTCAACTTGTTGGCCACTTGTTTTGACAAGCGTTGATTCGCTCACCTTGACCTGCGAGACGCCTTGAGTGTGGTGTTGGCGTCAATAAACACCTGCACACGGGCGACCAAGTCGCGGGATTGGGTCAATGAGGAAATTTGTGTGAATTGTTAATCGTAAAAACGTCATTTGTTCAAAACAACCGTCAACCGTTCAAAGCGCGAGTCAGCCTTTCAGGTGCGGCTATTTCTTCCCAGAAGTGGAAATTGCTCAGAGCCATGCCGTTCATTCAACGCGCCGTCAACCATGTGTGGTGAGTCTATTTTTGAGTCGACTCAATTCATTCAATGCACCGTCAACAATTTAAACAGTCCTCGACTTCTCACCTTCACAGCCGCGTCCTCGCCTCTGATCCCTCCCACGCCGCGCCCCTCCAGCCACGTCAGCAGCTCCTCCACCATCCGCTCCTCCTCCTCCACCCCCGCCAGTTTAGGATCGAAATCCGGCAAGCCTGCCGCATCTGTCGCCGCATCCGTCGCGCCTTCCGCCGCGGGAAGGTCCTCCGTGGAAACGAACTGATCCGGCGTGACCCCTCCGGCTGCTCCCACCCCCATTCCCAAGCCTGCGCCTGAGCTACCGCCTGAATCAGCAGCAGCAGCGGCGGCGGCGGCAGCGGCTATGCTCGATTGAGAGGGATTTGAGGCATCAGTCCCGTCCGCTCGTTCGGATGCGGAAGCTGATGGCGAGCGGAGCAGGACGAGCGAGAATAGGAGCAGAAGATGCAAGACGGGGGATGAAGCCTTGCGGATGGCTGTGGTTACCGGTGATGGGCGACGGGATGACGCCATGCAGTGCAATTTTTTAGAGTATTCGGTGGGTGAGTAGTGTGCAGTCAGTGTGTGATCTGCGTGATCAGTGTGAATCGGATACTGATCACTGTGCGATCAGTGAGCAATCAGTGGGTGGTCAGTGGGTGGTCAGTGGGTGGTCAGTGGGTGGTCAGTGGGTGGTCAGTGGGTGGTCAGATTGTAATCATCTAATGGCCAGTGTTTCTGCAAGAGCGACACGAAGTGGCGCGAGGGCACGAAAGGAGCAGGCGAGACTCGCGCAACGAGCGGTTGGCTTCACGTCACGCCTCCCTCGTTCTGATGACCATCAGAAATCAGAATGACTATCCTGAAGTACGCGGAAGACCATCGGCATCCGGAAAAGGAGGGAAGAATCGAATCGACGTCTCGTTCGGACAAGTTTTAGAGGCAGTATTGAAACAAGGAAGTCGTGTTCTGGAGGGACGTGAACGAGCTAGGGAGCGACGCAAGGGGTCGACTTGGGGTAGCACTTCGGCGGACGTGGAGACGAAAAAATAACGCGCTGGGTACGAACGCGTGAGAGAAGGCTTTGAATGCTCGACAGAGGAGGCTGTTATTAGAAGCCAGCCAGGCAGTCTGAAGGTCAATGTCCCACAATGGGTGAAAGGCGGAAGGTTGCTCAAACTAAATTGAATGAGAGCCCAAGGTTCTCGATTGAATGAGAGCCCAAGGTTCGAGAATCCTGATCAAATGAGGGAGACAGGGCTTGGCGGGAATGAGCTGGCAAGGCGCGCCCACATATGCAGGGAACCAAGACACCATTCATGCGCCGCATGGAATATTCCTATAGATTATCCAGAGGTGTAATAAATACTGGTAACCTAAAGCTCCAAAGTCAATGCGAGGTTCCTTACTCAGGTCTTTTGCATGACCCAGGTATAGGAACAAATGATATGAAAGCCCATTACCCACTCACGCCAGACCAGCCCCCAATCGCTTCTCTTTATTTTTTATCATTGCACTAGTGCCACAGAACAGAATGTTCAACCGCTCTCACACACTGGCAAGACGCACTGGCTTGATCCATTTCCACCAAGACGCAAATACCCATGTATGTAAACCATCAACTTTGGCAGCCATTCCATGTAAGCCGAAACTAGTACCTCACCTGTGAAGTTGCTGTTGTGCCTTGCAGGAATCCTGAGTACAAGTGCTGTTGGGACCGTAGGTAGTGCACTATCTACGCACATACAGCATGTGGAACAGAATAACCAGCCAGGGCAGCAGCAGAGCAGAGGCAGAGGGCAGCGAGAGTGAGCGTCATGAGCAGAAGCAGCAGGCGCAACGCCACATGCCGGCTCACCCACCGCATCTCCGCCCACTCCACCCCCTGCAAGGGCGGCGCTCCCCTGCCTGTGAGTGCAGCTGAGGGGATGGGCGAGCGGAGGCGGGGATGGAGAGGAGACGGGTGGTGCGATGACGGCTGCTGAGGTGAGCGCTGCTGCGGGGTGCAAGGTGCCACGGGCGAGGGAAGGCGGGCGGATGGATGGGTAACGCTGTTACCGGGGTGGTCCAGTGAGGGCGAGTCGGACAGGCCTGATACCGATGCGTCTCTTGCTGCCCCTGCTCCTGCTGCACCTTCTGCTGCGCCTCCTGCTTGCGTGGCCGCAACCGTTTCTCCATGGGTCCCTCGGTGTCTCTGCTGCACCCAGGACCCCCTACTTTCCTCTGCCTCGCCCTCTCTCTCGCAGCACACCCCGCATGTGCAGCCGCCTGCCAGCCTAGCTGGCACGCTGACTTGGGCCCCAAAGAGATCACAGAGTGCTGACGTGGCAGCAGATCCACCACCCATGACCTGGATCTTGCTGCGCGTGGCTGGGCTCAGCAGCTGGGGGTGACCGGGGTCAGGGAAGGGGAGGGGAAGGGAGGGAAGGGGAGGTGAGGAAAAGAAGGGGAGAGGGAGAGAGCAGAGATGAGAGACAGCAACCCAGCAGCAAGGTGAACCCGCATCTCCTGCACCCCACCCAACTCTTCCCCTCACCCCCTGTGGCAAAAGGCAGAACCTCCCTCACCTGCAGCATAGCCCGTGCCAGCAGGCGCAGGGCGGGCGGGAGGTGCAGCACGTGCAGGCGGGCCATGCGGTGCGGGAAGTTTCGGTGCAGAGCGGTGATGGTGGCGCGCAGCAGCGCCACGGGCAGGTGCCAGAGGGAGGGCGCGCCCTGGCAGTCGAGGACGACCGCGATGCGCCCGCTGTCAGGCGACGATAGGGTGAGCGCTGCTGCCACCGCGCTCACCAGGGACGCTGGGGACAGGCGTGCACACAGAGAGGGAGGACGCGGGGGAAGGTGGGCCGGGAGAGTGGTGATTTGGCCTGGAGAGTGGTGATTTGGCCTGGAGAGTGGTGATTTGGCCTGGAGAGTGGTGATTTGGCCTGGGCGGCATGAGGCGGAAGGAGAGGGGACTCACCGAGGTAGCGGACGAAGTCAGAATGCAGGGCGGACGGGATGGCCTTAGCCGCCCGCCCCACATGCAGCACAAGACAGGGCCTGCAGTCCACATCCACGCCGTGCCAGTACCCATACTCCCCAAAGGGCGAGCAGCAGACCTCGCTGGGCGGCATGAGGCGGAAGGAGCGGCGCCACTCCGCAGTGGCTGTGATTCCCTTCACAATGCGCGGCACGTGGCGCTTCCCCGACACCGCGTAGCGCAGGATGCTGTCATCTGAGAGCCTGCCCCAGAGGCTCAGATGCGGGGGAGGCGCGCAGGAGAGAGGAGGGGACTGTGAATGCAATGACACCCGTGATGTAATACCTCATCCCTGCCCACATATCGCATTCCCACATATCGCATTCCCGCATATCGCATGCCCACATATCGCATTCCCACATCTCACATTCCCACATATCGCATTCCCACATATCGCATTCCCACATATCGCATTCCCACATATCGCATGCCCACACATCGCATGCCCACACATCGCATGCCCACACATCGCATGCCCACACATCGCATGCCCACATATCGCACGCCCACAGATTGCATGCCAACATACATATCGCATGCCCACAGATTGCATGCCAACATACATATCGCATGCCCACATATCTCATGCCCTAATATCCCCTGCCCTCACATCCCGACCTGAGCAGGCAGGGCAGCAGAGAACGTGGTTGCCATGCACCACCACAAGAAGCAACACAGGCACTGGACACGCACCATTCATGTGTGTCCACGTCAGCATCTAGGAGCGCCAATCGCACATCTCGAATGAGATCGCGGTCACCAGGTGAGAGCGTGGGAGACGGGGGAGAAGGAAGCGCGGGAATGACAGCAGTGGGGAATGGCGGAGGGAGAGAGGGAAGGGTCGGTGCTGTGGCTGCAGATAGAGAGGCAAGCGGAGAGTCAGTGAGTGCAGTAGCCCCTGCTGCCCCTGTAGCACCCACTCCTGATGGCCATGCGCCCGCCTCTACTGCTGTTAATTCTGCTGCTGCTGCTGCTGCTGCTGCTGTTGCAGGAGTGGTGTGGAGGGTCTCGGCGGAGGGTGAGCGCATGGGAGAGGCGCGCTTGGGGGGTCGGTGGGGGGAGGAGCGGCGGGGGAAGAGGATGGGCAGCAGGGAGGAGAGCGTGGCGGCGAGGAGCGGCGCAGAAAATACCTGCATGGTGGGAGGGAGGAGAGGATGGGAGGGAGGAGAGGATGGCAGGGAGGAGAGGATGGCAGGGAGGAGAGGATGGGAGGGAGGAGAGGATGGGAGGGAGGAGAGGATGGGAGGGAGGAGAGGATGGCAGGGAGGAGAGGATGGGAGGGAGGAGAGGATGGCAGGGAGGAGAGGATGGGAGGGAGTGAGAGGGCAGGAATGTGGGGCGTGGCCATGAGGGATGGGTGCGCAGGGTGACGAGGGAATCAGAGAGGCGGGAGGGAGAAGGTGAGAGGGATTCAGGTGCGGCAGCGAGTGGCACAGTCCCCTTCCCACTGCCATGCATGCGCTCATTGCATTCGCCCCCACATCGACTCATATACGCCCACATGCATCGCCCCTCCTCTACCCCCACATGCCTCTCCTTTACCCATGCCACGTTTCCTTACCTCCAGAATCATCCACGTCCCGCCACGTGTCACCGCCACAACACCACTGAGTAATTCCTCCGCTCCCCCAATTCCCTCCAGGTGCGCTGCCGCCTCCCCTCGCCCTTCCGCCACCACCGTTCCCCCTCCCCCTACCCTTCCGCCCGCCTTCCCCTTTATCCGCTCCCCCAGGTGCACCGCCGCCACCACGTGCAGCGCCGGCCATAGTAACGGAGGGCCAGCGGCGCACAGGGGCCTTCTTAGCGCTTTAATCGCTACCACCCGCACCGCGAACCACGCCGCGCTGCGTGACACGCTCAAGGCCCCGCCGACGGATCGACTCAATGCGACGCTCAGGACGCTCTCGCGTGCGACTGTGCGACGCACCGTGCGACCCAGTGTGCGACAAAGAGCGGCTAGCGGCGAGCGTGCGATCAACCCTGCGACGGCTGCGAGCCAGCCTCGTCGCCGCCTTGTTGGCAGCCGTTGATCGCTCGCCGAAGTACTCCCTCTCGTCGCACGGGCATCTGCTGACGAGCCACTAGGCGCCATTTCAGAAGTCCTAGCTGACACAGAGTTAATCGTCGCATCGTCACTCGCTGCGATGCGGCTTGCCAGCTCAGCAGAGTCGTCGACCCGTCGGGTCGCCGAGCTGTCGCGCGAGCTGCTGTGAGGGTCGATGCTATGCGCGGCGGTGCCCGCATCTGCCGGCAACGATTCCGCCGCCAACTGCGGCGGGTCTGGCAGGTTTCGATCTTCGTGAGACATGCGAGCGCTAGGGCGAGCGCAGAGTGCAGCAAGATTAGGGTTGGGGTGGATTAGGGTTAGGGTTAGGGTAAATGCTGGGATGGGATGGTGTGCGAGCCAAAATGTGGTTTGGCTCGGCTTTCCATCCGCGTTACTGGAATCTCCAGAATTTTTGTTTTGCTCGCGAGTGTCTGCACTTACGAAATTCACTTCGTTCCTCTTGCAAATTCCCCGACCAGCCAGCCATTTCCACCTGCGCAACACTAACCCAGCCTTCTCGAGTCAGGTCCCATGATCCCATCCGTCCATCCCGCACCCGCGCAACCCAGCGCCGACGCCGTGAGCTCGGGCTGCGTGGATCGCACAACTGTAGCGTCGCGGTCGTTGCGACTGAACGGGGATTACGGGGAGTTCGGGGAGCGCGGGTAGCGCGAGGAGTGCGGGGAGCGCGCATGGAGGAGTGCGGCAAGTGCGGGGAGCGCGCGGTGGATTACGACGAGCAGGCGCTGGCGCTGGTGTGCGCACGATGCGGCCACGTGGCGGACGACGCGCAGCTCACGTCGCGCGTCGAGTTCGACGAGTCGGGGCGCGCGGGCGGCGTGCGTGTTGGCGGCGGCGGAGGCGCGGGGATGGCGGCGAGCCCCGCTCGTGGATGTGGACGGCGGGAGCGGGTGGGGGGCGATTTGGGGGAGGGTGGGGGGAGGGGACGGCGGAAACGAAGTGGGGCGGCGGAGGCAAGTCGGCGGAGTTCAAAAGGCGGAAGAACAAAGTATGCGGGCTACTCTTAGCACTTAGCATCGCAAAGCAAAGGATCCCAGAGTGACTCCTTGGGCTCAAAGCACAGCCTCGTAACCCCGCCCTCACTTCCTCACCTCATCTCTGCCTCACTCGCGTTCTTCCCCATTGAGTCTCAAAGCCACCTCTCACCCTCCCCACACCCATCCCTTGCCTTCGCCCCACTCCGATCCGCCTCCGCCCCCCCTGCGCTTCCCCTCCCCCCCCCCATCCCCCAGCGCGAGTGGGAGGAGCGGCTGGGCGCGGTGGTGGCGGGGCTGCGGGTGCCGGAGGGGGTGCGGGGGGAGGCAGTGGAGGTGGCGGAGCGGGTGCTAGAGGGGCGGTGGGGCGGCGGGCAGTGGATGGGCGTGCTCATGGCGGCCGCCGTGTACATCGCCGCGCGCAACAGACGCCTACCTGTTTCCATGGCGGAGGTGGCGGTGAGTGTCCATAGCTAAGGTGGCGGTGGATGTCCATGGTCCATAGCCAAGGTGGCGGTGAATGTCCATGGTCCATGGCTGAGGTGGCGGCGAATGTCCATTGTCCATGGCTGAGGTGGCGGCGAATGTCCATTGTCCATGGCTGAGGTGGCGGCGAATGTCCATTGTCCATGGCTGAGGTGGCGGCGAATGTCCATTGTCCATGGCTGAGGTGGCGGCGAATGTCCATTGTCCATGGCTGAGGTGGCGGCGAATGTCCATTGTCCATGGCTGAGGTGGCGGCGAATGTCCATTGTCCATGGCTGAGGTGGCGGTGAGTGGCATCAGCAGTCTTTATGGCTTGGCATGAGGAAGCTATGGTGTGGGGCATGGCATGGGAAGGGTCCACCGCCCGCCGCCCATCTCTCGGCTTCCGTCCACCGTCCACCGTCCACGGTCAACCGTCCTCCGTCCACCGTCCTCCATCCACCGTCCTCCATCCACCGTCCACCATCCACCGTCCACCGGTGGACGCCGTCCATCGTCCACCGTCCACCGTCCACCGGTGGACGCCGTCCACCCTCTACCGTCCACCGTACACCGTCCACTGTCCACCGTACATCGTCTACCGTCCACCGTCCACCGGTGGACGCCGTCCATCGTCCACCGCCCACTGGTGGACGTCATCCACCCTCCACCACCCACCGGTGGACGCCGTCCACTGTCCACCGTCCACCGCCCACTTGTGTCTACCGTCCACCGGCAGACGCCGTCCACCGTCCACCGTCCACAGTCCACCGTCCACCGCCCACTGTCCACCGTCCAACGTCCACAGTCCGCCGGTGGACGCCGTCCACCATCCACCGCCCACTGGTGGACGCCGTCCACACTCCACCGTCCATCGGTGGACGCCGTCCATCGTCCACCGTCCACCGTTCACCGCCCACCTGTGTCTACCGTCCGCCGTCCACAGTCCACAGTCCACCGGTGGACGCCGTCCACCGCCCACTGTCCACCGGTGGACGTCGTCCACCGCCCACCGTCCACCGTCCAACGTCCACAGTCCGCCGGTGGACGCCGCCCACCATCCACCGCCCACTGGTGGACGCCGTCCACACTCCACCGTCCATCGGTGGACGCCGTCCACCGGTGGACACCGTCCACCGCCCACAGTCCACCGTCCACTGATGGACGCCATCCACCGTCCACCGGTGGACGCCGTCCACCGCCCACTGACCACCGTCCACAGTCCACCGGTGGACATCGTCCACCGCCCATCGTCCACCGTCCACCGTCCGCCAGTGGTCACCGTCCGCCGTCCGCCGTCCGCCGTCCACCGGTGGACGCCGTCCATCGCCCACTGTCCACCGTCCACAGTCCACCAGTGGACGTCGTCCACCGCCCACCGTCCACCGTCCGTCGGTGGACGCCGTCCACCGTCTACCGGTGGATTCCGTCCACTGTCCACTGTCCACCGTCCACCGTCCACTGTCCACCGGTGGACGCCGTCCACCGTCCACCGCCATCCACTGTCCACCCTCCACCGTCCACCGGTGGACGCTGTCTACACCGTCCACCGTCCACCGTCCAGCTGACTTTCCTGGCGTCCAACTAACTTACCTGGCATCCAGCTAACTTACCTGGCGTCCAGCTAACTTGCCTGGCGTCCAACTAACTTACCTGGCATCCAGCTAACTTACCTGGCGTCCAGCTAACTTGACTGGCGTCCAGCTAACTTGCCTGGCGTCCAGCTAACTTACCTGGCATCCAGCTAACTTACCTGGCATCCAGCTAACTTACCTGGCGTCCAGCTAACTTGACTGGCGTCCAGCTAACTTGCCTGGCGTCCAGCTAACTTACCTGGCATCCAGCTAACTTACCTGGCATCCAGCTAACTTACCTGGCGTCCAGCTAACTTGCCTGGCGTCCAGCTAACTTGCCTGGCGTCCAGCTAACTTGCCTGGCGTCCAGCTAACGTACCTGGCATCCAGCTAACTTGCCGGGCGTCCAGCTAACTTGGCTGGCGTCCAGCTAACTTACCTGGCATCCAGCTAACTTGCCTGGCGTCCAGCTAACTTACCTGGCATCCAGCTAACTTGCCTGGCGTCCAGCTAACTTGCCTGGCGTCCAGCTAACGTACCTGGCATCCAGCTAACTTGCCGGGCGTCCAGCTAACGTACCTGGCATCCAGCTAACTTGCCTGGCGTCCAGCTAACTTGCCTGGCATCCAGCTAACTTGCCTGGCGTCCAGCTAACTTGGCCTTGCGTCCAGCTTAATTTGACTGGCGTCGAGCTAACTTCTCTGGGGTCCAGCTAACTTGGCTGCGTCCAGCTAACTTGACTGGCGTCCAGCTTAATTTGCTTGGCGTCCAGCTAACTTGAATGGTGTCCAGCTAACTTGACTGGCGTCCAGCTAACCTGCCTGGCGCCCAGCTAACTTGGCTGGCGTCCAGCTAAGTTTCACTGGCGTCTAGCTAACTTGCCTAGCGTCCAGCTAACTTGCCTGGCGTCGAGCTAACTTGGCTGGCGTCCAGCTAACTTGGCTGGCGTCCAGCTAAGTTGCCTGGCGTCCAGCTTAATTTGACCGGCGTCCAGCTTAATTTGACTGGCGTCCAGCTTAATTTGACTGGCGTCCAGCTAACTTGGCTGGCATCCAGCTAATTTGCTGGCGTCCTGCTAACTTGCCTGGCGTCCAGCGTAATTTGCATGGCGTCCAGCTAACTTGGCCGGCGTCCAGCTTAATTTTGCTGGCGTCCAGCTAACTTCTCTGGGGTCCAGCTAACTTGGCTGGCGTCCAGCTTACTTCCCTGGCGTCCAGCTTTATTTGCTTGGCGTCCAGCTAACTTGACTGGCGTCCAGCTAACTTGCCTGGTGTCCAGCTAGCTTGCCTGGCCTCCAGCTAGCTTGCCTGACCTCCAGCTAACTTGCCTGGCGTCCAGCTAGCTTGCCTGGCCTCCAGCTAACTTGCCTGGCGTCCAGAGCTTGCTAACTTGCTAGCCACTGCCCACCCACCTGTCACCACCTGTCCCCAGTCACCGCCGGTCGTTTCTCATGCCCGTCACCGGGCATCACCGTCCATCACCGCCCGTCACTGCCTGTCACCACCCGTCTCCACCCATCACTGCCCGTCACTGGCCGGCACCGCCCGTTGCGGCCCAATACAGGCTCTCACCACCCATCACCCCCCATCACCGGCCGTCACCGCCCTCCGCCCGTCTCCGCCCACCACCCATCACCGCCCATCACCGCCCACCGCACATTGCACACCACTCGTCATCGCCCGCTGCCCATCAGCGCCCACCGCCCGTCACCGTTCACTGTCTACTGTCTACCGACTTCCGTCTTCAAGGAGGAGGTTTAAGGTGCTGCTGTTGCTGCTGGGGTTGTGCGTTCTTCTCGCCTCCTTGATCTTTTCTACCTTCTCTTCCCCCTCCTCTCCTCCCCCAGCACGCCACGGACTGCCAGCTGGCATCGGTGTGGGCCATGTTTAAGCGCTTGCTGGCTTATTTTCCAATGCTGCAGGTACTCCCATCGCTGTGCCTGCATCTGTCTGCTTGCCTCGGTGGATTTTCTCGTGCGCAGCTTCTTCTGTGTAGCCGCTACGTTTGTCTTTCACCATCTGCTGAGTGCTTTATTCATGCCACCCCATGTCATGACATCATGCCACCCCATGTCATGACATCATGCCATCTTTTAAAGACGTGCTGTCTTCCGTCTAATCACCCCATGCCTTCCCATGCCATGCCATGCCATGCCATGTGCAGCCTGAGCATGTGGATCCAATCAGCCATGTGTGGAGGGGAGTGCATGCCATGCCATCCCTGGCGGTATGTGCGTGTGCCATCCCTGGCGGTAGGTGCGTGTGCCATCCCTGGCGGTAGGTGTGTGTGCCATCCCTGGCGGTAGGTGTGTGTGCCATCCCTGGCGGTAGGTGCGTGTGCCATCCCTGGCGGTAGGTGTGTGTGCCATCCCTGGCGGTAGGTGCGTGTGCCATCCCTGGCGGTATGTGCGCGTGCCATCTGCACGGCAGCGTGTCGGTTTGCCATTTCCCCCTTCACTGGACTTCCTTCTGCTATGCCCTGCAGTATTTTCCCCTCGACTCTAGCATTTCAGCTTATATTCACACTTCATGGCATGGCATGACATGGCATGACATGGCACGGCATGGCACGGCACGCCGCGGCATGCATGGTGCATGCAGGGGTGGCAGGGCGAGGGTGGCAAGCAGGCGCTGGTGAGGGACGCCATGAGGCTGCTGGCGTTCGCCCACTCGCACTCGCTGCACACCGGCCGCCATGCCGCCCCGGTACCTGCATTGCCATGCATCCTTCTCCCTGTCCCCACCCTTCTCTTTCATGCACTGTTGTTTTGCTGCTGTGCCGCTTGAGTGAATTCACCCGGGGCTCTGTTGCTCCCTTTCCTGCCTCTTGTCCCTCCATGTCACCCCTTCCACCCACCCCTCTCCCCGCCTCTCTCGCCGCTTCCCATATCTCCATCCCCTATGCACCCCTCCTTTTCCACCAGATGGCAGCGGCGGCACTGCTGCTGGTGGCGGCAGCGAGGGGGGTGGTACTGGGGGAGGCGCAGCTGTGCGCGGCCATGGCGGTGCCCCCGGCCACGGTGCGGCGGCGCTTCTCAGAGCTGGTCCCGGCGCTCTCGCGCCTCGCGCGCTCGCTGCACCTCCCCGCTGCGGCGCACGCCACCTCGCAGGAAGCTTTCCAGCGCCTGCTGCCGTCCATCCTTGCAGTATGCGTGTGCGGTGGGGGCACGGGCTGTCTGTCTCTCAGCCGCATTGTCGGTAGCTGTGCCTTGTTTGCGGGGCTTCTTATCATGTGCTGCCATGGAGAATTATTGCTGGTAGCCAAGGGTCAAGGGCAAACTTTCTCTTGCCTGTGCTTCTCCCTCCGCCCCTCCCTTCCCTTCTTACCACCCCCCCCCCCCCCCCTCTCCCTTTTACCCCCCTTCCCCTTGCCGTTCGCCTGGCCTATCAGCTTCTGCCGTCCCCGGCTCGAGTAGGTCACCGCTTTGTGATGCCATCTGCAGGAGACCACAGTGCTGACGTGGACAGAAATGCTGACGTGGACAAAAATGCTGGCTTGGACAGAAGTGGTGACGTGGGCAGACGTGCTACCGTGGAAGATAAAGCTGCTGAGGGGCCTGCCCCAGGCTGTGTGCTTCAGTCGTCTTTCGCTGGAGGTGAAAGAGCAGGGCGAGGAAACGGGGCAGCACAGGCAGGGGCAGTTCGTGATGAGGAAAGCAATGAGGGAAAGGGAGGGGGGGGGAGGGAGGGAGGTGAGGAGGCGCGAGGAGCAGAGGGGTTAGACAGAAGAGAGGGAGGAGACGGATGCAGAGGAGGGGAGGATGGGGCCGCATTGGAGCCAAGAGAGGGGCATGCGGTGTGCGCCAATCAGCTGCTGCCACCTGCGTTTGAAGACAGCGTGAAGGCCCATCAACGGTGCGAGCCCCTGCGCTGCATTGACTCCTTTTCCTCCCCTTCCCACGCTCATTGCTGCCACCATCCAGCCCCCCCATCCCCTGATCACCCCGTCCTACCGTTTCCTCCCACCCCTCTGCCATCCGTGCCTCGTTCCCATCTCGTTCCAAGGCCGCCTCCTCCCTCCCCATCCCACCCCCCCCAGGCGTGCCGGCCACATCAGCCGGGCACAGCAGCGCCTGCAGCAGACGAAGCGCGACAGATGGGGGCGGGCAGGGAGAAGAGGAGCTGTGGGGGGCGTGGAGGAGGGGGGCTCTGGGGAGAGTGGCGAGGGCAGGGGAAAGACGGTGTTGGCCGAGGGGAAGGAGGGCGCGGGAGGAGGGGAGGGTGGCGACGAGTGGAGGATGGAAGTGCTGTGGCGGTGGGAGGCGGCGTGCGTGGACGACAAGGGGGGCGAGGGGGGGAAGAGGGTGCGGAGAAGCATGAGGTCGTTCGGTGAGGGTGGCGGTGGTGTGGGGGCTAAGGGGCGGCAAGAGCAAGGGGGTGGTAGTGAGGATGCTGTCGTGGATTGGCTGCTGCTGCAACAGGTATGACGGCTGGCAACTTGCCATGCTCCAAATTCTATACATTTTCTTTTTGCCATGCAAGCGCCGTTCCTTGTTGGCGCCTGATAGTCCACGATCCATTGATGGTGGCTCATTTGCAATGCATACACGACACGATCCATTGATGGTGGCTCATTTGCAATGCATACACGACACGATCCATCGATGGTGGCTCATTTGCAATGCATACACGACACGATCCATTGATGGTGGCTCATTTGCAATGCATACACGACACGATCCATTGATGGTGGCTCATTTGCAATGCATACACGACACGATCCATCGATGGTGGCTCATTTGCAATGCATACACGACACGATCCATCGATGGTGGCTCATTTGCAATGCATACACGACACGATCCATTGATGGTGGCTCATTTGCAATGCATACACGACACGATCCATTGATGGTGGCTCATTTGCAATGCATACACGACACGATCCATTGATGGTGGCTCATTTGCAATGCATACACGACACGATCCATTGATGGTGGCTCATTTGCAATGCATACACGACACGATCCATTGATGGTGGCTCATTTGCAATGCATACACGACACGATCCATCGATGGTGGCTCATTTGCAATGCATACACGACACGATCCATCGATGGTGGCTCATTTGCAATGCATACACGACACGATCCATTGATGGTGGCTCATTTGCAATGCATACACGACACGATCCATTGATGGTGGCTCATTTGCAATGCATACACGACACGATCCATTGATGGTGGCTCATTTGCAATGCATACACGACATGATCCATTGATGGTGGCTCATTTGCAATGCATACACGACACGATCCATTGATGGTGGCTCATTTGCAATGCATACACGACATGATCCATCGATGGTGGCTCATTTGCAATGCATACACGACACGATCCATCGATGGTGGCTCATTTGCAATGCATACACGACACGATCCCTTTATGGTGGCTCATTTGCAATGCATACACGACACGATCCATTGATGGTGGCTCATTTGCAATGCATACACGACACGATCCATTGATGGTGGCTCATTTGCAATGCATACACGACACGATCCATTGATGGTGGCTCATTTGCAATGCATACACGACATGATCCATTGATGGTGGCTCATTTGCAATGCATACACGACACGATCCATTGATGGTGGCTCATTTGCAATGCATACACGACACGATCCATTGATGGTGGCTCATTTGTGCCTCGCAGGCCGATCCCAGTGCAACCTCAGCCGGTTGGTATCGCTCTGCTGCTTCTACTGTTATAGATCGCCACATTAACAGCTCCGGCAAGGAGAAATAACACATAAATTGTATGTATTGAATGTAGTTTTTTTCTCGTTTCCCGAACGTGTGATCGAACTGCACCATGCTGCACCACACCGAAGTGAGCGTGGAACTGAACGCAGCAGCATGGCAAGTGCCCCAGCCTAGTGCACAACGGTGGTGCATGGCATGGCATGGTGGGTCGTGGGGAATGATCCTGGGAGATGCGAGGTAACGCTGCGCCAGCAGCATAGTTGTTCTTTGGCATGGCCATGGCTGGTATGCTGATGTGCTGAATGCCAATGCTGGTATGCTCATGCTGAGGAGAAGGGGAGTGCAGGTGGACGTGCATGCATGGCCAGCTTCGTGGCAGCTTGGATGGGGCAAGATCGGATGCAGGTCATGGTGTTTTTCGAGCCATGCATCTTATGCGGTGCGCCTATGAACCATATGCGGAGTGGAGACAGGAGAAAGGAAGGCTGCTCTGCCCATTGGCTTGAGAACTAGGCACTCAAGCTGATGCTACATACATACCATATATCAAGCCACCTATGCGCTGCACTGGTGCAGCAAAAAGGCTACCTATAACGGGCCAGGCCCTAGGCCAAGGCCATACAAGAATAGAGGCGCAGCAGCACTTGTGTAAGCGGCGCACGTGTGACTGATTCCCAGCCTGCTCAGCCTCACAAGGTGCGCGCTGCTCTTCATACGACATTCCTGCGGGCGTAAAGGTCCGTGCTTTCTTCTTCAAGGGCTGTGTGCCTCAAGGGCTGCGTGCCTCAAGGGCTCCTCAAGGGCTCCTCAAGGGCTCCTCAAGGGCTCCTCAAGGGCTCCTCGAGGGCTCCTCAAGGGCTCTTCAAGGGCTCCTCAAGGGCTCCTCAAGGGCTCCTCAAGGGCTCCTCAAGGGCTCCTCAAGGGCACTAAGTGGGGCACATGCGCAGCCATCAATCGGCGTCCTCCGTTAAACGCTGCTCTCCCCTCACGCGCTGATCTTCCCTCTGAAGAATGACTTGATGCGGCCTTTTGTGCGCTTCTCCCCGCCCGACGTGCGCCGCTCCTCGCTCTCCGTGGACGACCGGCTGGTGGGCGACGACGCCATGATGGGCGACGACGCCATGCTGGGAGATGTCGCCATGCTGCTCATGCTCTCGCCCCCGCTCCGCCCCTGCTGCCCCGCCACCTCCCTTGCCTCCGTGCCCCCCTCCCGCTGCTCCGCCTCGCCCTGTGCAGGTGCGCGTGCATCGCACCACTTCTCCCTTGCCTGCTCTTGATGCGATTGCCCATGCCCATGCCGATGCCCATGCCCATGCCCGTGCCCATGCCCATGCCCGCCATGCTGTTGCCCATGCCCATGCCCATGCCCATGTGTATGCTGAGGCCCGCTCTGTCCCTTGCTCATCAGGACCGCATTGTGCGACAAATGCTTCTGCAGTGGACGGTGCCCGCCGCCGCCCTCCTTCATTTCTAGGTCAGACAGCTGCCGATCAACACCCCCCGCCACATCAGCAGGCGGCACGGAGTAGCTGGTTCGTTCCGCGGGGCCAGCGGAGGGGGCGTGGGCGCAGAGGAAGTGCAGCACGGCGCTGGTGTAGTCGTCCGGCAGCTCGTCCACCACGTCGCGCCCCGCCGCGCCCATGTCCATGTACTCGCCGCTCTTGCACATCAGGGCGGCCTTCCTCGTCGCCTTGTGCAGGGGCTCGCCCTCCCCCGCCATGCAGAGCACGGGCGACTGGATCCTCCGCAGCAGGTCGCCGTGGTCCACCACAGCCATGGCGCGCGACAGCCACGGCCGCCGCTCAAACGTCTGCAGCGCGCCGATCAGCGTGCGCACCTTCAGCTGCCACGGCACGCCCTGGCCCTCGGGGAACCTCGCCTCGAGGAACTTGGCGACGGCGGCGGGGAGGTCGGCGTGGTAGTCCCCATCGGGGGTGTCCTCGCGCAGCACGTCCCCGCGCTCCATGAAGCCCAGCATGGGCACGCCCCACAGCGCCACGCGCCGCACCACGTGCGGCAGCTCCGCCGCTATGTGCAGCGCCACTGTGGCACCAGCCTCGTGGCCCACCTGGGGGGGGGGGAGGAGGGTGGGGAGAGGAGAGAGATGAGGAAGGCGGGGGTGAGTGAACTATTGAGGTGCATGCGTCAATCGGTGCGCGCATCCGTCTCTGGATCCACCACTCCGCGTGCCCATTCACTCATGCACTTCCCCTTCCTTCCACCTCCTTCCTGTTTCTCATGCATCCCTGCGTTCATGGATCCACGCCTTCATGCATGCATTCCCTAGATCCATGTCCCATTCCATTCCATCCACGTGGCACGTGACCAACACTCACGATGTCAAACGGCGGTGCAAATTGAAGTGCATGAGCAGCTTGAAGCACGAGGTTCGCCACGTCAACCATGGTCAGTTCGCCGCCCGGGAGCTGAGCTGCTTGCGCGGAATCAGCGCGTGCTGACGCGGCACGACACGACTCCCCGCAGTTGGGCAGATCTAGCGCCACGGCATGCAGGCCGGCCGCCGCCATTCGCTTGAGCGCTGATGTGAACATGGCGGACGACTGGGCGGCAGAGTGCAGCAGCAGGATGGACGGCGGGCCTTGGCCGCATCTGCTCATCAAATGACGCGGAAGGAAACGTGTACAAGCATCGTCAGACGTGGAACCCGACATCAAGCTGGTACGCAGGTATGGAAATGGAAGGGCTTGAGCAGTCTTGGGAAATACAGACGATTCAGAGGACACACAGACCATGCACGAAAGGGAGGGGCCCAAACATCATTTATCCCTGTTTTCTCTCATCAGTTCTCAAGTTAGAAGCTGTTTGCGTGCTCCGGTTTCTTGTCTAGCAGAACACACCGTTTCCAGCAGCGTTAAGCGACGTTTACCTGCGGTAGTGGATTTGCCCGGCCTCTGTGTCCACGTATCCCTTCCTCACATCGCCCATGTTCCCCGCGACGTCGTGAGAAGGCTGAAGAAAGACGTGTGACGCGTCACTTAAAAAAAAAAAACACGAGCCAAAGTGCAGCTGCCAGCTGTGTCTCGAAAATAGAGACTCGTCGATCCTTTGAAAGGATGATCTATTTCTGAGACAGGGCGACTACTATGACCTTTCTGTCTCGGCGAGGAGAGACGGCTTTCCACAAATGTTGCTTGTTTTATTCCCCTGAATGTTGCCGTGTGTGAATGCCAGGGAAGGGACAGCGCCCAATTCAGAGAAAAGGAGCAGATGCCCACCAGAGGTCAGTGGGTGCTTCTGTGCGCGGAAAGCTGTCGCATGTTGGTGCTGCTGTCGCATGTTGGTGCTGCTGTCGCATGTTGTTCGCTTCCTCCCCCCGCCGTCTTATCACAGAACATAGGACCCGCCAAGCGGAACTCCCAGCTGCTCGAAGGCGCAACCCTGGCGGAGGCGGGCCTGGCTTGTGTTGTGTTGTGTGGCAAGCCTTCCCTGCCACTCCCCCACAGTAGCCGCCACCGCCTTTTTTCATAATGAGCGGTGTGTTCTGATTCCAAACCACCCGACCCAAGACGACCTTGGGTACAGCAGGCGAGCATTTGCGAGTGATCTTTATATTCTTGCAGGGTAATGCAAGTGATACCCTGGAGCTTGAGGCTCTGGGTCTTCTCCACGCTTGGGCGGTTCTAAGTGAAACAGCGTTTGATAGGCAGCTGTTCATGACCCGAGTTACTCATCGGTGTACAAACCTTACCTCCCCCTCAAGATATATCCCTGCAGCATGCCCAGTCGAGCCACCCGCCATTCCCTTCAGATATGCTCTTCCCACCGTGTGCTCTTCCCATCAGCCGAATGATGAGCGGGCTTCCGCGTGGACAAGGTGACAAATACAGCACATCATTCTGGTCTGGGCCATGATTCGATCGCCCAACTTCCGACCCCGACTCGGGCAGCCTGACGACTCCAACTTAGAGCGGATTCTAAGTACTCTGACGTTGAGAAGAAAGAAAGAAAAAAGTCCTCATGCGGTGACAATCGGTTTGTAGCGTCCTATCGGGTTTCGGTGCGTTTGGACGAGATGAGACGTAAAATTCCGAATCGTTAACAGGCCAAATGGCCTGGTACATAACGCATTTTAGCCCAAGTGCAGAAAAACCTCATGGACATAAGTACAGTTCACGGTCGACAAATTGCAATGTGTGCGAGCAGCGTGGCTGATCGATGAGCAAGTCCACGACATCCATGCACTTTGGGACAGTTGTCAACCGTTGATGCTTGTTTTTTGGCTGCTTGACCAATAGGAGGACAGAGAATTCCTCGCTCTCGTGGAAAGGCATCGAAGACGAATCATTTCGGACCGGAAGTCTCGAGTTACAGTATCTGGCGAAGTGCATTCCCAAACTTGTCAGGGTCCTTGGCCATCATTGAAGCAATCATGGCTGTTTGAGGTAAAACGGAAAATGATCGAGCCCGTCACTACAGTAATTACCCGTGTGAGGGAAACCGCTTCTGTACCCGGGTAGCGGACGGGCTCCGTGAGTTGTCGAAGGAAAGCGTCATGTTGGCCACCATCCAGCGTGAGGCTGCATCATTGCATTGCATCACACAAAAGGAAATAGTGTAGTGTAGTACAATACCAGCATGTTGGGCATACATTGGGCATAAATTGGGCATTTGATGGATAGTGGCAACCACATTTTATCCCAAAATAGCAACTGTTCGCCACCCTAAGCTGTCCGGTTGAACACCCATGTTGGGTTGAGAGTAGCCGTAGGATATTTTTATAATACTAAGTGCTTGATAGCATAGCGGAAGTCTTGATGAACCCTTGTACTGGTATGTGAGAAGAAGTGATTGATTATAGCAAAGCGATACAAGGGCCAATAAGTCCGCTCCCTTACACATCCCCAAACACACGCTAGCCCTAAATTTTCCGAAGGGCCAAAAGTCCCCTCATAGATCTCACGCTAACCGTGAATTTGGCGAACGGCCGAGTGCCCTCACACAACCCCCCAGCACACATCGAGCAGGGGAAACGTGCGGTTATTATGACAGGGCCCCGAATCGCGTTGTTACATGATTCTGGAATTAGAGTAGCAGGAAAAGAGTGACCAAGGGAAAATGTCGAGGGATACAAAACTAGGGCTGTACTCCCTAAGAACTAAACTAGCCAGGCAATAAAAAATATAAACTAGCTAATCTATATGTCAATATACTTGTTGACACACCCCCTAGCCTAGATAGTGGTTATTCATAACAAGGCAGTGTACACCAGGACAGCACTACTAGTCTGACCTCTGGTGAAGGCAACAAGGCAACTCAGGGCAGTACTACTAGTCTGACCACTCTGATAAGAGGCCACAAGGCCAGTCAACAAGTATAGCAAGGCAAGCAGGTATAGAATAACAAGTACACGCGGGTATAGTATGACTCTAAATAAAATCAGTGGTGCTGCTACGAAGACAAGACCAAGCTGAGTACAGAACCGCTGATGGTCACGAGACGCAAGTGCCTTGGTGAAGATATCAGCAGTGTTGGCCTCTGAGGCCAACTGTACCACTCGAGCCTGGCCGGGCTGCTGCAACTCACGCAACAGAAAATACCGCAGCTGGATGTGCTTCGCTCTGCCCTCAACTCGAGCCTCCTGACACAGGAGGATCATGACCCTATTGTCAGCAAACAGGACCGGGGCAGACGTAGGCTGTTCACCTAAGTCTGTGAGCAAGAATTTCATCCAACAGAGCTCCTGAGTGGCCATGGCCCCAGCGTAGATCTCTGCCTCACAACTGGATTGAGCTACAAACGAAGATCTGGTGGGCCTCCACGAGATTGCACCAACACCAAGACTAAAACAGTAGCCCTGAGACGACCTGAGCCTCTCCACGTCGTCAACCCACGATAAGTCTGTGTCTCCAGCGAGCGCCACTGGCACCCGTCCTCCTAACACAAGCCCCAGTCCTGATGTACTCGTCAGATACCGCAGTACCCTCTTGGCAGCCGACCAGTGGACTGGTTGGTGCCCGCCTGTTGCAACAAAGCGAGCAAGGAGACTGAGAGGGTACGCTAGATCTGGTTGAGTGGAGGTCGTCAGGTACATGAGGCACCCCACCAGCTCTTCGTATGGACCACTAGCCTCAGCCGGAACAGGAGCAGAGAGCTTGTGATCCACAGGCAGAGGGGTGGGTTGTGTTGTGGAGAATTGGAGATTAAACTTCTTTAGGATCTGCTGCACCATATGGGACTGGGAGAGTGTGATCGTGCGAGCGGCACCGTCACGGGAGATCTCCAAGCCTAGATAGCGCCTCAGCTCCACCAAGTCTGTACAAGTGTGTCGCCTAAGTAACTCGGCCTTCACTGAGGCTAGTGCGACTCTGTCAGAAAAAGCAAAGATAAGATCGTCTACGTACACTAGGATGTAGAATGGTGTCTGGCCCATGCAAACAAAGAGAGAGGGATCAATAGAGGACGGAAAGAACTGCAGCTCAACAAAAGTGGTGCGACGAGTGTCGTGCCATCCACGGGGTGCCTGACGAAGGCCGTAGACAGGACGGCCGTAGATCTGTTCGTGCAGAATACCCTGCAGGAACGCTGTAGAGAAGACAAGTGAGTGAAGCTCTTAGTCACGCTGCGCGGCTATGTGAAAAAGAGCCCTAAGTGTAGTCATCTTCGGGGTCGGGGAGAAGGTATGGAAGAAGTCCACACCCTCACGCTGTCTGAAACCTCTAGCCATGTAATGCGCCTTGAACTTCAACGGCTCTCCAGGTGTGCACTTCACCCTATAGATCCACATGCCATCGACTACGTTGACCCCAGGCGGGGGAACTGCGTCAACCTAAGTGCCTGTGGATCTGTAGGATGCCATCTCAACCTCCATGGCCTGTATCCACTAGGCTGCCCAGGGCCCCGACACCCCCTCAGCGTAAGAGCACGGAAGATGGATGTCGAGAGCGTCTGGGTCACCCTCTGGGGATACAAGCATGGAGCAGAGATGGGGAACATCGGCAGCAAGGTAGGCCAACTCTTACTGCCTGTCCTCTAGCATGTCACTACCAAGGGTAGGTGCACCCCTGACGGATGGAGGACGGGCACTACTAGAGACCAGAGCGGCAGCATAGTCAAGGCGGTGGCTAGCAGCAAAATCAACGACAGCAGCGTCTAGCACAGAGACAGACTCAAGAGGAGCAGTAGGGTCAGTGACAAGCGACGCAAGCAGGCGCGAAAGGACTGGACAAGCAGCGCCGGAGCGAGGAGGGGGGGGCGACGAGAGCGACGACAGGGGAGGCAACGGGAGAACTGCGACAGGAGGAGCATGCAAATAAAGGACCATAGGGTGGGCACTAGGACGGGGAGAGACAGGACGGGCACCAGAGCGGTGACGGACCCAGTGGAGAAGAACCGGGGACTAGGGATGAGGGGGAACGGGGGACAAGTCAAGGGACAGAGGGGAGCGCAGGGGAAAACGAGCCGGAGAGGAGTCCGGAGGAGGAAACAACGGGCCGTAAACAGGGTGACACACGGGAGGGGGAACGGGCGGGCGGACAGGGGAGCCTGGAGCAAGACCAAGGAGACAAAGGGCAGACTGCGGCTGCTCTTGCTGCGGTGGCTGTGCCTGTTGCTGCGGCTACTACTGCTGCAGCTGCTTCTGCGGCTGCTGGTGTTGGCGCTGCTGTTGCCGTGGGTAGTTGAAGCGTGAGTGATCAGACGTACAGCAGAAATTCTAGAACGAAGGTGAGTGTCGTTTTGTATTTGAGTTGCTGTTAAGCCTGTGTGCGTAAAATGCAAGTTGTTGACTTGGTTTCTTTGCATGGTGCTCCTCGTACATGTCCATGTCTTGCTGCTCGGCATGGAGCTCCGCGCACAATTGCATCTTCGAAAACTTCCCGTGAGCGCGTAGAAGGGAGCGCATCGTACTCCACTGAGAGGCCGGCAAGAACAACCGTGACGAAAGAATCTTCCGATGAGTGCCCATCACTGCATAAGAGTCTATCGTGTAATCCCCTGCAACAATTGATGTACGTCATCACCGTTTCTCCTGCTTGCATATGAATCGTTGTGAGTTGTGCCATCAGTCGGCTCTGGGTCACGTTGTCGGAGGCTTGGTAGGCGCTCTTCAAGTGACAGT